TATGTACAGGTTCCTTGTGAGCACAATTAAGTGTTCTGGAATTCCCTTTCTTCTCAATGTTATCCATAATTGATGTTCTACACAGGTATGTTGTTGTTGTTGTTATGTGCCGTCGAGACGGCCCTGACTCATAGCGACCCCTCCTTGGGTTTCCAAGGCAGTATCACTACGGAAGTAGGATTGCCCAACTCTACACAGGTATAGGGGTCAGGATTTACAACATATATTTTGCAGGCACACAGTTCAATCCCTAACACATGCCAGGTTCCCATTCCTGCCCACAGACCTCTTGGGAATCAATATAATGAGAACAGCCTGTACCCAGCCAGGCGGTACCCATGTTACCAAGGAGGAAACTGAGGTACAGAGTAGTGACATGGCTGAACAAAGGTCACACAGAGTGAGTGAAGTCTAACGACATCCATGTCACTCCTGACCACCCTTTTCTCAGCTGGAGCCCCAGGCCCTCTGTCAGCTACAGGAAGATGGAGGGCTGGGCCCCTCAAAGGTCACCAGGTGCAGGGGGCATTCCTGCCGACACCCACTCCCGTGATGCTGTGACCTGCTGGTGACCAGGATGCCGAGGCAGGCCATTCTGCTGATGCCAATACAGTGTCACCATGGGTCCAATGGCAGGGACGAGCAGATGTAAGCCCACCTGGCCCAACCAGCCCCCCTCCCATGATGTCAGACAGGGGGGTAGAGAGCCCAGAGGTTGAGCTGGTACAGAGATGATAAAGGGACAGTCATAGTTTGGGGGTCATGAGCTCACCTCTTGTTTCCCACCCCACCAAGTGTCTGACTACCCCAAGGAGTTTCATGAAAACCTCACTCATTCATTTGCTCATTCATTCATTCACTTACTCATTCGCTCATTGGAGCATTCATTCATTTACTCATTCATGCATTCATTCACTCACATATGCATTCATTCATATATTCACACATTCATTCACTCATTCATGAATTCATTCTCTCACTCATTCATTTGCTGGTCACTAGGGATACAGTAGGGAGCAGACCACCCCAGGTTGCTGTC